CCTTTATCAATTATTAGAAAGCACATACATTTTCAATTCAAAAGATTTATTGTCAGGCAGGTCTCATCAGAATGAAAATTATTGGTGTGGGGCGGGGGTTGAAGCGCAGGAAAGGGAGGGATTTTGGTAAGTGACTTACAGATACACTCTGTATTTTCAAAAATAAACTGAAAAAAATGATAGATTTTACAATATTTATATGTAACTTTAACTAAATTATTCTTATATGAGTCATACAGTTTTTTCCTGTTTTTATTATTGTAAGTTGTTGTTTTTACGACTAAATTTGATCATAATCACATATTATTGCTGTAATTTTAACAAAAATCTTTTGTTTCACAGATTACAACATTTTTGTTGTGATTTTAACATCAAATTATTGTTTTCATGCTTACATTATTATTCTGTTGCGATTTTACAATATTTTTCAGTTAATTTTACAGTCTTTTTTTACAGTGTAGGCCTGTGTGAGACACACTGTGGGCCTCACTGTAGGCCTCACTGTGGGCCTCACTGTGGGCCTCATGTATGAAACCTGCGTACGGCCAAATCAGGGTAAATGAGGCGTACGCAAAATATTACACTTTTCCGCATTTATCAATCTGGACGTGAGCGTACAATACGCAAAAAATAAACGCCAGGTCTGGAGGTGGTGTAAATCTATACGCTGAACTCAACCTTCGGCACAACACGCCAAAACACGCATGAAATTCAAGATATGTACAACAATAAACATATTCCCTCTGGCAAAATTATATGCTGTGTTTTCATTGAGGATCATGTTTCAAAATTTGAATTTGCGCATCAGAAAAAGTCTAATGGAAACACGCAAACTTCGAATAAATCACAGCTCATGATGAGGACCCTCTATTAAATCTGACTTGTGTGTGTATTATTTTGATCTGTATGTTTTTAAAATGTGAAGCGCTTTGTGATCCTGGACAGTGAAAGGCTCTATATAAATACACATACGCAACAGGGATGTGTGACCCATCTATTGCTGTGGCAGGCTCTGCGCTGCGTAATTACGCACGGCTATTTGTATTCCTCATTCACATCTGGTAAAGCAATGTGTTATTTCATTAGATTTGTGTAAGCCTCACACAGACACACACCCCAATAACGCATCGATGGTATTGCTCACTCAAACGTCTCACTGCCCTGTCCAGAGTCGCGCCACATGTGCAGAAGTTTTGGCTCCAGAGTTTCTTTGTGAAATCTGGACCGCAAACGCTCTCTATGAAGTGTACAGCGCCTCAATGCGCACTTCTACCCCGAGCCAGGCTGCGTCCAAGACGCTGCAGACGCTTCATTCAGAGCCACCGCTGCATAATATATATTATAATTAATTAATTCATTCAATCAATCTATATTTATTCACTTCTACAATTCAAGAAGGATTTTTCTAATGTATCAAAACATTTTGGCAAATTGCGTAAATGGAATATACACCCAAAATGTACATCTTTTTCAACGCAAGTTTCATAAATGAGCTTGTGTGTATGTGCGCGCGTGAGTGCGTGTGCGTGCGTGTGTACGTTTGAACCATATTCTTTGAAACCCCAATTCCAGTTAGCCCTTGTAGTTTGCAAGCGAATTTGGCCTACTTACTAATCTGCAGGCCTACCCAAAATAGACTAGTTATGAGCGAAAGCCGCTTGTTGCTCCATTATCCGCGCGCAGCAATAACATGTCTATGAGCGAGGCCCGCAGTCGGGGAACACCGGGCCCTCCGGCGTTTGGAAGGTCCGATGTTCCCCGGGGAACACCGGACCCGGGGAACACCGGACCCGGGGAACACCGGACCCGGGGAACACCGGACCCGGGGAACATCGGGCCGACCCCCCGCACTCACTCGGGCTCATTACATACGTCACAGTAAACTCAGATCCAATCATTTCAATCTGCAAAAGGAGTTAGCCCCTCCCACCTGCAAATCCAGACCTTAGAACAAATGAAATGAGAACAATGGTGTGGTAAGACCAGACTAGGTCAAAGGCAATTCACACTTTGACTGTTAAATTTTGTCACTTGTCTTTTCATTTTGCAAACTTCTAAATAAATGTTTTGATAGTCAAATCATTAAGACAAGACTTTTCTGTGAGTACAATCCATCCACAAAAATTACAATAATAACTCTGGAGAAAGTGTTTTGACAGCTGTGGTACACACTTCCGTCTCCTTTAGATGTAAATATGTTAAAGTTACGAGACATTAAAAGTTGACGAATAACTATGACATTGTGCGTAAGGAGTGGAGTCGAAGGCGGTGTGTCAAACAACGATGACAGATGTGGCCGTTTTAATGACATTCAGCAGTTAGTATAAAACATAGACCGAAGCAGAGTGAGACGCGACGCTTTCTTCACACAAAGACTCTTGATCAGATTGTAAATATAAACATACTTAGTGACGCCTTTGAAACTAATGTGACACCCCTTTTGCCTTCTGTGGCTTTTCAAAATGGCCGCGGGGCTGGAAAATGTGAAAAAACACATTTGTGAGTTAGCTGCACTAGCCCTAGTCATTTAGCAAGTGCATTCAAAAGTCCACAGCGGCTAAACTAGACTGGTCCAAAAATATACTCCCCTCAACATTTACAGCATCTGGAACGTAGCTTTGGACCGAGAGCCACTTTTAGACCGAGAGCCACTTTTGGACCGAGAACCACTTTTGGACCATGAGCCACTTTTGGACCAAGAGCCACTTTTGGACCAAGAGCCACTTTTGGACCAAGAGCCACTTTTGGACCAAGAGCCACTTTTGGACCAAGAACCACTTTTGGACCAAGAGCCACTTTTGGACCTAGAGCCACTTTTGGACCATGAGCCACTTTTGGACCAAGAGCCACTTTTGGACCAAGAGCCACTTTTGGACCAAGAGCCACTTTTGGACCAAGAGCCACTTTTGGACCAAGAACCACTTTTGGACCAAGAGCCACTTTTAGACCAAGAGCCACTTTTGGACCAAGAGCCACTTTTGGACCAAGAGCCACTTTTGGACCAAGAACCACTTTTGGACCAAGAGCCACTTTTGGACCAAGAGCCACTTTTGGACCAAGAGCCACTTTTGGACCAAGAGCCACTTTTGGACCAAGAGCCACTTTTGGACCAAGAACCACTTTTGGACCATGAGCCACTTTTGGACCAAGAGCCACTTTTGGACCAAGAGCCACTTTTGGACCAAGAGCCACTTTTGGACTAAGAGTTACTTTTGGACCATCGTGTAAAGCCATTTTCAAGAAGTAAGAAGATCCCACACAAAAGCATTGGGTAATTCTCTTTCCGGGTACACCCCAACCAACAAGTAGGGGTATTGCAGCCTGTAAGCGTACGTGCTCATGGACCTTTTGGAGCCGGAATGTCATGGTGTGGATTTTTATTTCTGTATTTGGTTTTATTTTGACATTAGTTATCTGGTTTCATTTAAGTTTTACTTCATGTCCTGTTCCCCTCTTGATTGTCTGCCCCGCCCTGATGTGTTTCACCTGTGTCTGTGTCTATATGTACCCTGTGCTTCTACCCCTTGTTGCTACTGCATTGTCTTGTCTAGTTTTGTCCTGGTCACTTTGGACTTTTTGGAGTTGTTCTTTGCCTTGGACTTTGTTTTATTAAAAGCTTTATTTTTGGCATTCCTGCGTTTTGAGTCTTCCTCATTTTCACCTCGTGACACGGGACCCGCCCACACTGCTCTGAACAGGACAACGATGTGCCCAGGTATAAACCGCCCCCCCCCGGAACACTGTGAGGCTATTACTAGTTCCATGAGTCAATTATTTAAACTCACTTCATTATTCCTCATCCCATTAAAATTGACAAAATAATAATAATAATAATGTGTTTTTTTCCTTTGCTTTGAAAGATGTTGTCCCCATATTTTCCTGCAAACATGTCGAGGAAAACAGTTTGTACGCAAAGATCAATGGGACAAAAAACAACAAAATGTGTTTTTTATTTTGTTCTTTAAAAAGTACTGTATGCCTTCCTGTAACCCATTTGAATCCTCTTAAGAAACTTGTTTTTCATTGATTAAACAAATCACTGCGCTTGGCAGGAGTCCAGAGTTAAAAGCTTGTGTACACACAAAGAAGTAATATTTGTTTGTGCTCAATATGTAGATTTTTTGTTGATTCTATTGTTGAATATAAATGTTTGTCCACTCTCATTATTCCCATGATGTAAACTGGGCAAACAGAAGAAAGCTTTACAGTAAGGAGACAACAAAACACATATATGCATACAAATACATATAAAAACAGTTACACAAACAAACACTTTCTCATGGTTTTATGGTCCGTCACAGACTTCATGTTTGTTACATCGGTCAGGACATCTTGGGAATACTTTTTAGACTCAAAACCCGCTCGACCTGTATGGCTTTCTCACTCCGATTTGGCTCTCCATCTGCATTGAGAGTCTATAAGTCTATAATATCAGTTCAAAATATAACATCAGCCACAGGTGGAAATTAGCATCTTTTCTATAACCTGGTCCCTCTCCTTTGTGTAACTGCTAAATTATACACTGTCCCTGTTCAAGTAAAGAACATACCATAACATACCAGAAGAGGCTGGTAGATTGGAGTCAAATGTTATATGTGTAATGAAGTAAAAGTAAATGAATTAAAGTTTTGATAATCAAATCATTAAGACAAAACATTTCTGTGAGTACAAACCATCCAGAAAATTACAATCGTAACTTGGTACTATGCTGCAGACCTTAGTAGGAAATGAAAGAAGTATGATGGTTTGGAAAGACCAGGCTACAGTTGATCAGAAAAGACACATTTATAGTACTACATATCAATACGACAGATTTCACCTTCATAAAGTCAACATTCTTCACAGTCTTATAGCATTCCACTGAGCACTGACCGTCTCCACGAGAGAATCTTTCTGATCCAATGTCGTTGTGCTGCTGTTCCTTCATTCATGAGTTATTAAGCTTCGTGGTGTTCACTACATTCAGTGACGGTTGTCATGGCAGCCGCGGGACGTTCAGTTCAGTTGTAAAAGACGTCGTCCTCGGAGAGAGAGCTGCTGTCCACGTGTCGGACCTCGGCTGTGAGCGGGCCCCGGGGCTCCAGCTGCACCTCGGTTTGTGGATGGGTGCTGGTAGTGGCGGGCGACACTACGTCACAGTGGGGGGGGGCCGTGCCGGGCTCTGGGTACATCTGGCTGTAGAGGTGTTGAGGGACACCCATGCTTCCCCCGTCCAACAAGAACTGGGACAGCAGGTGGCTGCGGGTCACTGAAAACACCAAACCATGTTAAAGAAGAAATATGAATTTTTTGTCCATTGAAAAATCAAATGAGATTATTCTATTCCAATTTCTTCCGTTTTATCCGTTGCCGGGTCGCGGGGGCAGCAGTCTAAGCAGAGACGCCCAGACTTCCCTATCCACACACACTTCCTCCAGCTCGTCCGGGGGGACCCCAAGGCGTTCCCAGGCCAGCTGAGAGACATAGTCCCTCCAGCGTGTCTTCCCCGGGGCCTCCTCCCGGTGGGACGTGCCCTGAACACCTCCCAGGGGGGGCGTCCGGAACAGATGCCCGAGCCACCTCAACTGGTTCATCTCGACGTGGAGAAGCAGCGGCTCTACTCCGAGCTCCTCCCGTGTGACTGAGCTCCTCTATCTCTGCGGAGGAAGCTCATTTCGACCGCTTGTATCCGCAATCTCGTTCTTTCGGTCATTACCCAAAGCTCATGACCATAGGTGAGGGAGGGAACAAAGATTGACCGGTAAATCCAGAGCTTCGCCTTTCGGCTCAGCTCCCTCTTTACCACAACGGTCCGATACAGCGACCCCATCACTGCGCACACTGCACCGATCCGCCTGTCAATCTCACGCTCCATCCTTCCCTCACTCACTTGTGAACAAGACCCTGAGATAAAAATTAATTTACTTTGTTTGGAATGTGTAACAATGTCTTAGAAAATGTATGTGGCAAGGTGTATAATGTGTAAACCTTTCTACAATCTATTGCTGTTTACTGCAGTATTCGGTTTTTCTTGTACCAGTGTCTGTAAAAGTAGTGGTAGAAGTGCCTTAAATACCACCAGTAAAACAATGGAGAGGTCAAATACTATACTTTCTATAAACAAACAACTAACAATTCAAAAATAGATAAAATATAAGGTAGGAATTGCTTGAATCAAGTGTATTATTTTTTTTTTTAAGCTTAGTTTGAGTTCATTCTGTGTTAAAACAAGATTCTCAAATGGGACAAAGCCATTTAGTCTTATGACCAAAATGTTAGTTTTTTTCCTCATTCCAAGGCTGTCCCATTGGAAAATCTTATTTTTCGGCTCAGTCAAAATGAGTTCAAACAAATATACATTTTGCCAGAATTGAGCAATCTTCACTTTTTTCAGTGCAGCAACAATTATAGCAACGTCACAATATAATAGTATAAAACGGGTGCAGATGTCCACTCATGTATTCAGTACTTTCCATCGTGTTGGAAGAGCAAATTCTAGAAACTTCTCATGTAAATCCAGGTAAAGCGTCTGTTTGCTGTTTGATGTAATTCACAAATGCCTCTTCAACAGCTGCAGTCTGACATTCTCCTCCACAGCGAACCACAGACTCCACAAAAACAATTTAAATCAGACTGGAGTGTTTATGTGCAGAGAGCGTGAGATACAACAACGTTCAGCTGCAGCAAACAATGGGTTTTTATCATTTGGTTTCAATTTTTTATCATTTGGAGCAGAAACAAACCCAGCACATAGTTGTTTACCTGTAGAAATATTCTTCATGTATGACCTATTATAAAACCTAGATTGTGATGTTTGAAAGGAGTCCATTAACATAAAGTAGTTATATGTAAGATTTTCATGTCTAGTCATCATTAAAGGGCTCTAATCTTTCATCTTTAAAGGGCCCTAATCTGTCGGAATTTAAGGGCCCTAATCTGTCATCATTTAAGGGCCCTAATCTGTCATAATTTAAGGGGCCCTAATCCGTCATCATTAAAGGGCCCTAATCTGTCGTCATTAAAGGGCCCTAATCTGTCTTCATTAAAGGGCCCTACCTAATCTGTCATCAAGGGCCCTAATCTGTCGTAATTTAAAGGCCCTAATCTGTCGTCACTAAAGGGCCCTAATCTGTCATCATTAAAGGGCCATAATTTGTCATTATTAAAGGGCCATAATCTGTCATCATTAAAGGGCCCTAATCCATCCTAATTAAACGGCCCTAATCTGTGATCATTAAAGGGCCTTAATTTTTCATCATTAAAGGGCCCTAATCTGTCATCATTAAAGGCCCTAATCTGTCATCATTAAAGGCCCTAATCTGTCATCATTAAAGGGCCCTAATCTGTCATAATTAAAGGGCCCTAATCTGTCATCATTAAAGGGCCCTACCTAATCTGTCGTCATTTAAAGGCCCTAATCTGCCGTCACTAAAGGGCCCTAATCTGTCATCATAAAAGGGCCATAATCTGTCATCATTAAAGGGCCATAATCTGTCATCATTAAAGGGCCCTAATCCATCCTAATTAAACGGCCCTAATCTGTGATCATTAAAGGGCCTTAATCTGTCATCATTAAAGGGCCCTAATCTGTCATCATTAAAGGGCCCTAATCTGTCCAAAGACGTCAATAAAACATGCTCTTTTCCAATACTTCTTTAACTGATAACAGTAGTTCAGAGATATCTGAATTTCTAAATTACTTTTCCAGCCTCTTGTTATTGTTTTCATTTCGATGTCCCACCCTCCACCGTTTCACCAATCAGAAAGTCCGTGACCCGGTTTGCCAGAACTCACCGCGTGGAGCTAATCTCACTGGTAAAGTACCATGTGGCGCAGAACTAAAAAAGTCTCGTTATGATTCTCAAATCATTAACGACAAAACAAGGAATAAAACCAGGATTTCTATCTTTGTGAAAAAGGTGTTGGTTATAGATTTGTTGTTGACAAAACTCTTGTCTATTCAGCTGTCTATCTATCTATGTATCAGTCTATCTATGTATCTATCTATCTATGTACTGTTAGGGGCCTCACCTTGTAAACTGGAGAGGGGTTGTCCCAGGCCTTCGTCCATCGACCACATATTCATAGAAGCTTCAGCGAGTGCGAACTGCTCAGCCACACCTGGAACACACCCACAGAGAGCGTTTAGCCCGGCTCTACCTCAGAACCGCCCCCCACTGATCCAGTAAAGCCGTGACCCCGAGTCCCCGATCCCAGACTGTCCCGAGGCCCATCGATCTGCTGCTGGGCTTTGATGAAAGGAACTATTGACCCAGAGCTTCCCCACAGAGAGGGGGACGTCTTCTGCCTCTGTGTGTGCTGGCTTTGAAGACTAAAATTATTCTATTCCAAAAAACATCTCCACAGGACGAGTTGTGTGTCCAGCCCTGCAGAATCTATGCTTGATAATAATCTATGTGACAGTATAGGGAGATTTTGAGAAAGCAATGGGGATGCAGCTGGTGCCAAGTGACAAATAAGAAGAGAGAAATGATAGTGGATGAAGTTGATAAGTGGGAAGTGATAGAGAAAGGAGAATATGGAGGTTCAGTGGTAATGAGTCCCCGAGTGCAGCTTCTCATGAGACACAACAGATGTTCCTTTGCTTTGTCTGTGTTTCAGTTATAAATACAAATCCACAGTATACAGGCACGTTCATTAACCCATGCTCAGCAACAGCCTTTAAAATAGCAATATGTGAGATTTTCATGTCAAGTCCTATTTAAAGGGCTCCAAACGCGGTCATTATTAAAGGGCCCTAATCTGTCATCATTAAAGGGCCCTAATTTGTCATAATTAAAGGGCCCTAATCTGTCCAAAGGCGTTAATAAAACCTGCTCTTTTCCAATACTTCTTTAACTGATAACAGTATTTCAGAGATATTTGATTTTCTAAATAGCTTTTCCAGCCTCTAAATCTTGTTATTGTTTTCATTTCGATGTCCCGCCTTCCACCGTTTCAGCAATCAGAAAGTCTGTGATCCGGGCGCCAGAACTCACCGCGTGGAGCTAATCTCACTGGTAAAGTACCATGTGGCGCAGAACTAAAAAGGTCTTGTTATGATTCTCAAATCATTAACGACAAAACAAGGAATAAAACCAGGATTTCTATCTTTGTGAAAAAGGTGTTGGTTATAGATTTGTTGTTGACAAGACTCTTGTCTATTCAGCTGTTATGGTCCCAGCTGGATTCGTCTGCATATCTGGCAACCTGAGTCAGGGAGAGTGGGAGAGGCTGCAGTACCACTTTTAGACGTATTTTTACATACTGCTCCTTTAACTCTACTAAAATTGTTATACTATGTCAGTTTCTATTCCAAGCAGAGCTGCCCTGGAAACATGGCCTTGGTCTTTCAGCGGGGGCTTCAGGCAAAGTGGGGTTAAGTGTCTTGCCCAGTGTTATACTGTACTTTTTGAATACATCATGAATATGTACAGTATTTGTTAGCATTTTAAGCATTTTTGGTTGGTTTAGGCTCCAGTTATGGATGGGAGCTGAAACATAGCAGTGAGAGATTACACCAATGTCATTTTCTGTGACATTTTGTTTTGTGATGAGCAGTCACAAAACAATCTATCCATACAGACAGATGAGGTCAGTGACGTGCTAATTTGACCTGCACTCCATTGAGCAATCTCAGCAGACAAGTCAGTAACATGCTAATGAGATGGGGTCGTTAGCTCTAGCAGGATCATTAGACCTGCTCCCAACCTCATCTTAGCAGACTGTAGATGTGTTCATGAGTTAGCCTCAGGATCAGGGGTCTAACCCACTGGTTATAAATCTCCAACTCTCGGCTCGGGTTCCATTCCCTTGATAATGTTCTTTGGATTAAGAATGAAACGTCGAGAAACCTGCAAACTGAAGCACAGATGATGGGTGAGCAAGATTCCTTTGTTTTGAATCTCTGTACAACTGAGAGTTTAAGAAGAAGACGGTCCTTTTATTTGTCCCATATTTGTCTGGAAATTTCAGTTTTGATGAATACACATACACACATCAAGGCATGCAGTGAACATTACTTCTGTGCTCCTTATAGGCAAAGTGGGTTAAGTGTCTTGCTCAAGGACACAACAACAGCAGACATCAGTGGAGTCAGTGGAGAAAGTCTCGCAGTGGGCTCGAACCCAGGATCTTCAGGCTCAAAAGCCACTACTCTACCAACTGAGCCACTGTCGCCTACATTTACACAAAATGATCCCATGGTTTTGAAATTTATCCACTTTGGGAAGTATTAAACATCTCTTAAGTTTCTCTGTTTCGTCGTGTCCTTTGGAAGCGCACTTCATTAATATTAGTCATATAGTAATAAACATAAAATATAAATATAACAATCATAGAGAGTGCGGTTCTACCTGCTGCGAAGCGGGCCTCTTTAATTTCGTCCGTCATCTGAGAATACAAGTGTGCGTCCTCCTGTAGCTCCGCCTCCATACCTCCCCATCCAGCTTTCCCTCTGCCCCCACTCCAGCCCCCAGACCCCCCCTCGGCCACAGTCCACCCCTTCCACTCGATCAGGTGGGCCACTCTGCCCTGGGCCATAGCTGTGGGTTTGGTAATGTGATCCTTGATGGTGGCAACCAGACCTGAGAAGCACAAACAGCAAAAGTTAAACCTGATCATAATAATATCTGGAAAGAGTGTGACTAGCTTATTGCTGAAGGACCCACGGGCTTCCTGTGGTACTGCAGACCAAATTAGACTAATTACACATGGGCTACTCTAACATTTTCCCCATAGAACTCAATGTAAACTAAAACAGCACAACCTCAGCTGACAGAGAACCTACAGCTTTCATAAAAGTCGGATTTTGTGGAGATTTTAGTGTCTATTGTTGTCCTGAACGTTTTTCTTGTTAAACCCTTCTGTTTTCTCGTCCATTGCGCAAAACCGAGAGAACCAGAGATATGACCAAATATGGGCGAGTTCCACTAGTCTTTCAGTCCCCATGGCGATACATGCACTACTGAGCGCACGCCATTGATTTGAACTGGCCGCCATCTTGGATCAGCAGGGCTTGATCTTCTCAGTGGTTGGATTGTTGGATTTTTATGACTGTTCTAGACACTCCTAATCATTATATCATGACTCGATTGCAACCTTTTTTTTTTTTTTCTTTAATAAATACATTCGATTAAAGGGTCTGGTCTTATCCATCCGTACTCTCCGCTCAATCATCATGTCCTGCATGTAACGTCTGGGTCTGGTCCCTGTGTTTGAGATTACAATCGGTTGAATTCCATCCGACCAATCAGAGAGCGCGGGAGGCAGGTGTTGAACTTAGTTGTGGGTGGCGTCAAGAGTTTGCGTCGAACGGGCAGGTTGTAGTTTGGCAAAGAATGTGATAGTAAAGTATTCTGGTCTGGTTCTATCAAGAAACTGAAGCCGGAGCAAGAAGAATGTTTAGCAAATGTAGTCACTGACAAAAATTGTGGCACTTTTCCCCACGGGCTCCGTTATCGGCAAAGGAGATGGCTAAAGCTAGGCTAAATGCTAACAACTGTGGTGACAGTTTTTGGAGTAATTACATAAAACCAGCCGCAGCAAATACACGGACGTCAAAGGCCTTTTATCAATGCAGAGACGCCCTTCTGACGCCATGCTGAGCTTTGTGAGGGCCCCCTGCTGTCTGTCACACCCTTGTGTCTTTCGTATCTTGAATCGGTATGCCTGCTCCTATCCATATGTCCCTGCTGCCAGGAAGGAGCCGGGCCCCCCCGACACCTACAGACAATGGCTATCACTCTTGCCCCCTTTCACCTCTTGCATATGTATCGGTCTGTATGTGTGCACTCTCTACATCCTGCAGTCTGTTTGCATCCCTATGCGCCTCCTGCACCGGTGGCCCCCCTCCCATCTGTTGTGGGCGGGACTGGCTTTCGTGTGTGTCTTGTATACAGGAAGCTCGGGGCTCTGGCCCCCAGAGCTGGGACATGCTGCCTTTTGAGTGGATGTGTTGGCTCTCCGCACGTGCGTTAACAATAAACTTACGCTTTTGATCAGACAAAGGACCTTTGAGTTTTCTCCTTCATGGGGTATTTAATTCTATAACAATTTGGCGTTGCTGACATGTCTTGGCATGGATACTTTCGGCGGGGACGAGCGGCTTTGTTTGGCCGACCTGGATCACCAGCCTCTGTTCCTTTTTGGAGACAAAGGAGGGCGCGCTCGTCCCGCGCACGGAAGGAATCCTTTTGCCACACAAGACCAAAAAGAACCTAATCTGGTGAGTCTTGTCTTTTCATCTGCGTAACGAGCCCAGGGCAGCACTTAAGTGTACACGGGGATTTGTTTATTTATGTATTTTTTGGGGTATTTCATTCATTGCCACAGCATAGTCTGTGTGCGGGATTTTTTGGGGGCTTTTTGTTCTAAGCACCAGCCCCACGCCCCAACCACAGGCGGCGCCCGCACCAGCTGAGACCCCGCGAGAAGTGGGCCCAAACCGCAGAAGAAGAAGAGGCGGAAACAGACACACGCTCAGGAAACCACAGAAGAAGAAGCGAGGGAAACAAATATGTGAGACACCGACAACTGCTTTGGAGCACAGAGAGAAACTGCTCCAAATCCCGTGACTGTTCTCCACGGAGGGGGCAGCGTGATATACCAAACGCACCCGCGGAAACCCGCTTGAAAGTTGTTCCCGCACCGCAAACAGAAGAAGCCATTGTGACCGGCACGTTTGGGTTATTCACCAACCCTCATGGACCACATGCTAACGCTTTGGGCTACCTGGGCCTCCTGCGGACTTTGAAAAACTTCCACAGCCCGGCGGAAAGACTGTGTGCTCGACATGGGTCGAAGGACTGTTACCGGAGGAGGCGTTAAAGGCAGAGGAACGCTCAAGCTAACACGGGGCCAGAGGACGGCAGAGGCGGGCACGGAGGAAACACGAGCGACTGACCAAACCTGGGTTCACATTCGTCACCAAAGCGACCGCTCATGTAAGTTGAACAACAACAAATTGCAATTGGCACATTTTTAGAGATAATTCATGCCCGTAATATACGCTAACAATCTGTGGTGTACAAGTTAAAATTCTGGATGACTCCGGGGCAACAAATTCTGTGCTAAAAGTGACAGCCTTTCTGTCTCCCCTAAAATGAGTGGCCGCTTCACATTCTCATTAGCAGCGTCGGGAGAGACGACTAAAGAGCAATTTACGTCACCGCTAACGTGTTTTGATTCTCAGGGCAGCCAGCTTAAACATTCTTTTCTATATTCCCCATTGTGCCCGGTTAACCTACTAGGCCGAGACCTTATGTGCAGACTCAATTAAAAATAGATAAATAAAAGGAGGCACCGGTCCCAAAAGTTAACTACCACTGGAAATTGACACCAAACCCTGATTGCTAAGTTATTAGCCACAACAAGTGGATAGTGACGCCCGCACAAAATTTGGAGGTCAACCACGCGAACGACCTAAGCTGCTCTCTCCGGTCGTTCCCAGACAATAACTTGGAGTTTGAAAATTCATGCAGTGTAGGGAAGATAGGCTAACGGAGTACGTTTATTGAGATAGGCACCACTATCTGTGCTACTTAATGAGGAACAAAAACATTTTTATCGTGAAACAAAGGTGAAGTATTAAAGTTTGAGACTAATTTACATTTTTAATGAATCCGACCTGGCTTTATTGAAAAAGAAAAAAATAAGGAAAATAAACATTTTTTTTAGGTGACAAGAGCTCATTAGAGATATAGGGGACACAATCTGTGATAAGCCCGAAGTATAGACCACGTGGTAAACACTAAAGTTGGAAATGGATCCTTTTAGGAAAACTCTTTTAAAGCTCTGCAGGCTCTGAAAGTTGCAACAATAAGAAATAGCTCATGAGACAATTGGAATTGGACATGGAAAAATATAACAAAGTTAAAAGTACAGGCCTTCTGTGTGTGTTACATGTTTGTGTGTTATATGTTTTGTGTATGTTATATGTTTGTGTGTCATGTCAAAGTACACTACGCTGACCTTAACAAACTCTGGACCAATACTAACGTGGGGAATCGGCCTGTGATGTGACTGTGATGTGACTGTGATGTGACTGTGATGTGACTGTGATGTGACTGTGATGTGACTGTGATGTGAGTGTGGAGTGAAATGAGGAATGCTGAACGGAATCATGGAATAACAAATGTGTCTGTAATGTTTTAATGTGATCATGGAATAATTCTTTTTTGTCAACAGCATACGGTGTAAGTACTAGAGATTCAAAGATAACGACCTTTATTGAACAGGTGTAAAAGTGAGAGTACTCTGGGATGAGTACTCTGAGAAAAGTACTCTGCGGAAAGTACTCGGAGATGAAATACCTCGCTGAAGATATTGGGAGTTCCTCCCTCTGCTGTTTGCCCTGACAGTGATTCGGTCCAACCGCAGTGAGCGGTCATTGGGCGGAGGACAACTTTGGTTCGTAAACTCACATTTAGGGGAGTATAAAATTAGTAACATACATTTTGTTGTTCTGTATCTGGCTACAGCCTCCGCCCTGATGCCACACACCGTCTGTCAATGCAGTTATGTTTTTCCCAATTGGGAAAAAGATTGACAAGCGAAAGTGGGCATTTTTTGTGTTTTTTTTTGTGTTCTGATATTTCTTTTTCAGATGAGAGATAAACTACCCCTGCTCCAGGGATGACAGTAGTATGGATCAGGAGGAAATGAGCCTCCACTTTGGCACAAAAGCCCACAATATGAATTGAGGACGATCCGGGAGAAAAGCAACTGGAGATGAACGGAACAGTCGGTACTTTTGCAGCCTCACTGAGGGCCACTGAGACCCACTGCTTACTTCTCAGCAAAACTCGATCCCGTGGCAGCAGGGTTGCCTCGCTGCCTGCGGGCTGTGGCTGCCGCTGAGAAAGCGGCCCTAGCATCACGTGACCTTGTGGGATACACTGAACTAACTTTGCTTGTGCCCCATGCTGTTTCCCTGATCCTGTTAGAGCAGAGGGCCTCTCGCCTTTCTGCGGCTCGTTGGCTGGGGTACAACACGGTGCTCTTTGAACTACGGTGAAGGGATGCACACAGCTGAACCCCTCCTCGCTGCTGCCCACGCCAGAGGAAGGGGAGGCACACTGCTGTATCGCCACAATAGAACAGATATGCACTCCCAGGCCAGACCTGAAAGAGGTGCCTCTGACTAATCCTGACTTGATTTTTTTTATACAGACGGAGCCGCGTCACGTGACAACACTGGGAAGAACCGAGTCGGCTATGCTGTGTGTTCTGATTTTGATACTATAGACTCTGGTAGTTTGCCCCACTACCATTCAGCACAAACCGCTGAACTGGTCGCGCCCACCGGGGCTGGCAGCGGGCAAAACGGTTAACATATTCTGTGATACGCGTTATGGTTTCTCTGTGGTGCACGACTGGGAAGCACTGTGGAAACACCGCAATTTTATGAAATCTGATGGTAAACCAATTCTTAATTCCACACAGGTTGAACGTCTGCTGAAAGCTGTAATGTTGCCCTTAGAGATCGCTGTATGCAAATGCCAGGCCCACACTAATGCCACTGATCCCATCTCTGCAGGGAATCGGCGCGCAGACAAGGCAGCGGCATACGCACCTCTACACACACACACACACACACTACCTCACTCAAGACGTTGATATTTTCTACTCCAGCAGAGACGCTGCTGTGGGAGGGGAATGGGGCTCAACGACGGCATGGTGTGTGTGGCTGGGACCAGACAGCAAACCGTGCCTACCACGGCATTTCTTCAGACAGTTTGCAATTTTAGCACATGGTCGAGACCATGCCTCAAAAGGAGGGATGATGTGTGATTTAATCACACAAAATTGGTATACAAAGGGGTTTACGGCATTTGCACAGAGATTCAGCCAAACATGCGCTATATGCCCCGCGCACAACCCAGGTAAGTCCCAAAAGTATCCAACAGGCTGCTCATCCTCCGCCCCTGCGCCCATTTCAACATGTCCAAAGGGACTTTGTTGAACTCACACCATGCCAAGGTAAGTAATACTGTCTGGGTCTGGCGGATCTCTGGTCCAAATGGACTGAAGTATTTGCAGGCATACACGCCACGAGCAACGCGGTGGTGAGTCACTTTGTAGCAAAAGTCATTGAGGAAGTGGGTGAATTTCTGGGCATTGATATACGTAAACACTGCAGTTACGCCCCCTGGTCCGGAGGCACGTGCGAGCGAGAGAATGGCACTCAAAGCTCTGCCGCTAGCCCCACGTTGGGCGCGGGACCCCCGAACAGAGATCTGCCAAGCACCTCTTTGTGTGATGACGACATGCTGTCCTATTGTAAGGAAATTAATGCACTTTTGTCCTCTATTTCTGCCCAGGTCAGGAGCGCCCTGCCACAGGCTTCGCAGGCGACTGGGTCCTGATGAAGGAAACGAGACGAAAGCATTGGCGGTCCAAGCGCTGGCTCGGCCCATTCCTCGCCCTCCTGGTGACGGACACTGCCGTTAAGGTCGCGGAGAGGACAACTTGGATCCACGCCAACCACTGTCGTGCGGTGCTGCCACTGAGGGCCATAGACGAGGACACCGAGGGCGCGGACGGACCAGGCCCATCCGCGGCTCCCTACGCTGAAGAGGTCGGCCGGCGTGCGGCCACCGTCGGTGAAGCAGGCCAACAACAACACCCAGAGAATCCCAGCGTTCCCGAGGCGACCCCCCTTCTGCCCAACTCCCCAGCCCCCGGATCCCAAGGCCTGGGAGCCATGAAGGCCCTGACCGCTCTGCTCAGCTGCAGCAAGTATGCAGAGCTGCTGCTCATTCCAAAGATTTCTCCAGAGCTTGCTCCCTCTGGCCATAATGCAGATTTGAGCTCTGCTGGAGTGCCCCCTGGTGTCTCGTCTCCCGTGTGTCCGGAGGAGGTGGAGATGAGGGCTGCTCTACAGTTCCTGATGAGGCACATGGTGAAGCGTGCTGTCATGAGGTCTCCCATCAAACGAGCTTTGGGCCTGGCCGATCTGGAGCGTGCTCAAGCCATGGTCTCCACACCCCAAACCCCGAGCACTCTGCCCAACCGAGTGCTGAGGCCAAGGCTTCAACGCAATTAGAGTCTTACCGCTCCAAGACCAAACATCGCCATGACCACTAACGCTCCACACACGCTCATAGGGAGCGGTGCCACTGACTGCGAGACGGCACTGCTCGTGAGTATTCCCGCGGAAAAGACTACTGAACGTAGCCCGGCTAAGACCGGCATGGGCCCTTGGACTGTTATGCTGGCCACACTGACACTACTTTCCGTGCTGACCGTGTTTATTATGTTAATATTGCCTTCTCTTATCGCTGTCCGGATCCATTGTGTTATTATAATGTGCTCTTTCTTTTATTGACAAGCATGTTTCTTTTCTTGTCCACTTTGGACAGCAATAATTTAAGTGTTTCAAGCTTGAAGGTGGTGTGATTACGATGCCTCTGGTATTTAACTGATTAATGCAAAAATGGTTTTGAATTATCAAAAGAGGGGAGTGTGGTGACAGTTTTTGGAGTAATTACATAAAACCAGCCGCAGCAAATACACGGACGTCAAAGGCCTTTTATCAATGCAGAGACGCCCTTCTGACGCCATGCTGAGCTTTGTGAGGGCCCCCTGCTGTCTGTCACACCCTTGTGTCTTTCGTATCTTGAATCGGTATGCCTGCTCCTATCCATATGTCCCTGCTGCCAGGAAGGAGCCGGGCCCCCCCGACACCTACAGACAATGGCTATCACTCTTGCCCCCTTTCACCTCTTGCATATGTATCGGTCTGTATGTGTGCACTCTCTACATCCTGCAGTCTGTTTGCATCCCTATGCGCCTCCTGCACCGGTGGCCCCCCTCCCATCTGTTGTGGGCGGGACTGGCTTTCGTGTGTGTCTTGTATACAGGAAGCTCGGGGCTCTGGCCCCCAGAGCTGGGACATGCTGCCTTTTGAGTGGATGTGTTGGCTCTCCGCACGTGCGTTAACAATAAACTTACGCTTTTGATCAGACAAAGGACCTTTGAGTTTTCTCCTTCATGGGGTATTTAATTCTATAACACAACTCACTCTGGCTCATTACATACGTCACAGTAAACTCAGATCCAATCGTTTCAATCTGCAAAAGGAGTTAGCCCCTCCCACCTGTTAACGGAGTCGGACCTTAGGACGAAATGTAATTTGTACTATGGTGTGGTACGACCAGGCTAGTCCAGTGAGGACAGGCTACATTTCCTGAGCGTTTTAAACTCCATATACACCATTCGTCATTTCCCAACCACATATTATTGACTTTAAAACAGCATCTTTTTGTGTATTCTGTGAATGTACTACTTTGAGAGGATTCTAATGCTCCTTTGAGTTCACTGCAGAGCCTTTTCTCCAATTGTTGGATTTTCCACACTTTCTATTGAACGTCTGTATTCATAAAATGCAAATTTAGTGGCAATACAGATCTGCTCATCTGCCTGAGGTTTGCAGATCCTGCTGTCAGCAAATAATAAGTGGAAATGGTGAAAGTGGGACGATACAGAACATGTTCCAAAGTATGAGGGGCAGATAACCCGAGGATCAGACTGTCCTTAGATGTAAATTTGACATTATGTATTTTACTGTCCCACTCTGTCCTTGTTTTGTCTTTCTTCTTGTGTCTGCTTTGACTTCCTGTATCTTCTATTCCATCTCATTATTTTGACTATGTATTATTACGTTTTAGTTTTATTTTTTATTATGCTGCTATGACTGTGCAGCGCTTTGTAGACATTGTTTTTTGAAAAGTGCTCTACAAACCAAGATGTATTATTATTATTATTATTATTAAGGATATTATTATTATTAAGAACTGTACTGATGTGAACATTAGTCATTACATATTTTCTGTCCTGGTTGTTCTTCCAGTCACAAAGCCTCCAACACGACACGTCCTAAATGTACAGATGTGTCACCAAAGTTCAATTAATGATTTTGAAAGGAATCATTTTTGTTGAAATGGTTTTGAGCCCATCTGAGATTATCCTGTGTATATTTACAAACTGCGTAGTATTAAAGAATGAGGTGAAAACCTTTTTGGTTCATTCCTTAATTTTATTGCCGCTTGAAGTCAGATGAACCCATAGTAAAGTTTAGCGCGGAGTGAGGGCCCTTTAATGATGACAGATTAGGGCCCTTTAATGATGACAGATTAGGGCCCTTTAATTATGACAGATTAGGGCCCTTTAATGATGACACATTAGGGCCCTTTAATGATGACATATTAGGGCCCTTTAATGATGACAGATTAGGGCTGTTTAATGATGACAGATTAGGGCCCTTTAATGATGACAGATTAGGGACCTTTAATGATGACAGATTAGGGCCTTTAATGATGACACATTAGGGCCCTTTAATTATGACAGATTAGGGCTGTTTAATGATGACAGATTAGGGCCCTTTAATGATGACAGATTAGGGTCCTTTAATGATGACAGATTAGGCTCTTTAATGATGACAGATTAGGCTCTTTAATGATGACAGATTAGGGCACTTTAATGATGACAGATTAGGGCCCTTTAATGATGACAGATTAGGGCTGTGTAATGATGACAGATTAGGGCCCTTTAATGATGACAGATTAGGGCCCTTTAATGATGACAGATTAGGGCCCTTTAATGATGACAGATTAGGGCCGTTTAATGATGACAGATTAGGGCCCTTTAATGACGACAGATTAGGGCCTTTAATGATGACACATTAGGGCCCTTTAATGATGACAGATTAGGGCTCTTTAATGATGACAGATTAGGGCCCTTTAATGATGACAGATTAGGGCTCTTTAATGATGACAGATTAGGGCTGTTTAATGATGACAGATTAGGGCTCTTTAATGATGACAGATTAGGGCCCTTTAATGATGACACATTAGGGCCCTTTAATGATGACAGATTAGGGCCCTTTAATGATGACAGATTAGGGCTGTTTAATGATGACAGATTAGGGCCCTTTAATGATGACAGATTAGGGCCCTTTAATGATGACACATTAGGGCCCTTTAATGATGACAGATTAGGGCCCTTTAATGATGACAGATTAGGGCTGTTTAATGATGACAGATTAGGGCCCTTTAATGATGACAGATTAGGGCTGTTTAATGATGACAGATTAGGGCCCTTTAATGATGACAGATTAGGGCACTTTAATTATGACAGATTAGGGCCCTTTAATGATGACAGATTAGGGCCCTTTAATGACGACAGATTAGGGCCTTTAATGATGACACATTAGGGCCCTTTAATGATGACAGATTAGGGCTCTTTAATGATGACAGATTAGGGCTGTTTAATGATGACAGATTAGGGCTGTTTAATTATGACAGATTAGGGCTCTTTAATGATGACAGATTAGGGCCCTTTAATGATGACAGATTAGGGCTGTTTAATGATGAAAGATTGGGTCCTTTAATGATGACTTGACATGATAATCTTACATATTGCTACTTTAATGATGTCAGATGCAGACTTACAACGTAGAGTAAAGAGTTTCTGTTGGACCTTGTGCATGTTCCCGAGGGAGACATGGCGCCCACGGTCTGCTGCAGTGGATCCTGAAGACGCTGTGCTGGCAGCGTTTAACCACGAGCACCGCTGGACGGGCGCACGGGGGCGGCGGCGGATGTTTTGAACCCGCCTGCATTGTTCATTAGTGCTCTCACAGAATCATTATGCTAATCGCTTCTCATTACTTTGGGAGTCGGAGCAGATTGCAAAAACAAACCGACACCTGTTTCCGGAGTCATTTGTCGGTGATGTTCCGTAAACTCCAAAGTGGTTTGGTTTGACGGGGATCTCAGGGACCACAGGGATCTCAGGGACCACAGGGATCTCAGGGACCACAAGGACCACAGGGATCTCAGGGACCACAAGGACCACAGGGATCTCAGGGACCACAAGGACCACAGAGATCTCAGGGACCACAGGGACCACAGGGATCTCAGGGACCACAGGGATCTCAGGGACCACAAGGACCACAGGGATCTCAGGGACCACAGGGATCCCAGGGACGACAGGGATCTCAGTGACCACAAGGACCACAGGGATCTCAGGGACCACAGGGATCTCAGGGACCACAGGGACCACAAGGACCACAGGGATCTCAGGGACCACAGGGATCCCAGGGACGACAGGGATCTCAGGGACCACAAGGACCACAGGGATCTCAGGCGTATGTACTCTGGTCAAAACACTCATAAGTTATTAAAAAAACATATAATACAGTATTTTTCTGACTATAAGCTGCACCTAATTAACACACACAGGGGCGACAGTGGCTAAGTTGTAGAGCATTGGACTTTGAGCCTGAAGGTCATTGGTTTGAGTCCACCACGAGACCTTCTCCACCGACTCCCACTGATGTCTGCTGTCGTTGTGTCCTTGGGCAAGACACTTAACCCCACTTTGCCTGAAGCCCCCGCTGAAAGATTAAGGCTCCTGTGATCAGTCTTTTGGTTCACAAAATATTATCGACATATTTTTCGTCACAAGAAGTCATTCATTAAGGCGCAGGAAGGAAACAGAAGATGATTTTCTACTTCCGGGTTTGTCTACATCTATTCAAGACTTTAACAAAACAATAACTATTTAGCAGGTTTCAACTTCATTGTAGAGCAGACCTGTCGTCGACCAGTTTGTGTTTCTATAGAATCTAAAAGGAGATGGAACCTCACCGTGAAAATAAATGTTTGGAAGTTAGAGATTCTCAAAACACCCGGAGAGAAAATAAATGATTGTTTTAGTTTTGACGCTCTCTCTCGGCTCTATTTGTGTGTGTCTCAAACGGCTGCAGCTTTAGAGCCTTGGGCCGTGATATGGGAAATGAAACCAAACCATCCGGTGGCAGTAAAACTTTAATGATAAAGATAAATGTGCCAATAATCTCAGCATCGTGTTTCTCTAATGTCGTTACAACTTTACCTTCATTAATTTAATCCCAGGGGTCACAGTTTCTGCAAAACACAGTGGAATAGCTGCAATCTGGTTATGATCTCCACCCCTCCCTTTGTGTGTGTGTGTGTGTGTGTGTGTGTGTGTGTGTGTGTGTGTGTGTGTGTGTGTGTGTGTGAGACTTTTTGGATTATTCTCATGTTGATTATGTTTTGCCCCATAAAATACTGATTCAATATGATATAAAATTATGAAACCTTTCTGGTGGGAAGCCATTTGATCATTGGCTAAATAGATACGATTTCCTTATATGGGCATTTGTTCCGATGGTGCTTGCTTAACCCGTAACAGGAGAAGGCGTGTCGCTAAGGCATGCTGGAGTTTTCCTAGCAAATTAAAGCCTGCTTCACACGAGACGATTTTAAAATTGTCGGCTGATTTTCCTAACCTGAGAGATCCCACACACAGAGAAAAATCAAGGGTCTAACCACTTTCGCACAGTGTGTGGTGCGCAGCCACTCGGCAAAATCACGCAAACCACACACATCACACACGAACCGATTTCACCCCGGAGCATTCCCAGGTCAGACGGAAATCTCACAAAATCTCTTGAGATCAAGCGTGACTTCAGAGTAAACAATCATGGAGGATGAAGAGGATGTAGTGGCCATAGTTTGTTTGTTTTTAACGGAGAAAAAGTGTCAAATGAAAAGAAATGGAGACAACATGAGCTCGGACTATCTGTATATTTATGCGCCATGCCATTGACTGTTGGCCGCCTTGTCACCTTGTCTTCTGATTGGCTACACGACCACTGGCAGCGTGCTCGTCTGTCCCCGACACCACACACCAAGAGAAATTGGGCCAAAACAATCCAACATGTTGAACATCCCTGATTTGAGATCGGAGCAGTCCCAAAGTCCTTCTGAGCGACGCAGTCTTAAGATTGTCGTTAGGGGTGAATCGGGTCTTAAAATGGCCTAATTATCCTGCTGTGTGAACCAGGCTTTAGGCATCTGATTGGTTAATCCCTATATGTGTCATGGTGTGCTCCTTTTGGATTATTTTGACCTGGTTTTATTGTACTTGTTTGTTCTCTCGTAGTTTGAGTTTACTTCCTGTCAGTCCTGTAGATTGTTAGCCCCGCCCTAATGTGATCCACCTGTGTCTCCGGTCTGTATTTATACCCTGTTCTTTCACTTCTTGTCCGTCCATTGTCTCTCCATGTTTATCTAGATTTTCTGATTCTGCATTTTGGATTCCCTTTTTCTTCATTTCCCACGTGACAATATTGCTCCTATCTGCATTTACAAAGACAGTATTAAACTAAAAACCTAAAAATCATAGAAAGCGTAAAAAACACAGATTTTTAAATCCAAAACGGTGAGTCAATAGAGGCCAGAGCAAAACTTTGTCTATGAGCACTTTTAGGCTTCATTGTCCATCTATATTCAGCACATGAGTAAACAGCTCAGTCTGATGCCGGAAGACATTTACAAGAAAATAATTTACACACAACAAAACAATTCTTTATCAACTTTTAGCTTTCAAACATATATGAAGACGCTGCTGGAGTCGAGAAAATGTCTACTTGGATTTGCATATAAAGCGAATGCCAAAGTGAAAAGTTAATTAGTCTGGGTATAAGGAAGTGGAATGCTAAAGTCCGAGCAGCTTATGAATAACTCGGGGCCCTCTCCTGCAGCGGTGCTAATGGAATCCTGATTGACAAGTGATTGAACCAAACAGAAGCTTCGTCGCGACACTGATTTGTAGCAGGTTTCTGACACCGAAGGAGTTTCTGCCACCCACTACAATCACAGTCAGCACCCAAACTTAACCAGCCACTTTCATAGATCAACCCCAACCCACCCTTAATGCTAACCTTAACCATCTTACTCAGAACCCTACAACTTAACCAGTCACCACTTAAGAATCAGAATCAGAATCAATATATTTGCCATTTGCAGAAAAAAAAACTACATTGGAATACAAACAGGAGACACTGGGGGCACCAACACAACAAAGCACACACACACAGAATAAAAATAGCGAGACACAGTGAGGCACATATAAAACTCTTAAAAGCATTATTAAGACGCTACGATGGAGCTACAAAGAGAAGCAGATCTCAGGGCGCTCTGTTCAGTCTTATAACCGCCTGAGGGAAGAAGCTATTGGCATGGCGGGTGGTCCTGCACCGCACAGACCGGAATCTTCTCCCCCGAGGGAAGAGGCTGGAACAAGGCCGCTCCAGGATGACCAGAGGAGTCATTTACGATCCTCAAGGCTCGGTTTAAGAGTCTGCTCTCAGACAGAGCCTCCAGAACGGGCATCTCACGGTTCACAGTCCTCCGAGCAGAATGAACCACTTTGTTTGTTCTTTTCTTTGGCTGTGATGAACCACACGGTGATCGCACCAGCATCAGGCTATCTATGGTGCAGCGGTAGAAGTTCAGCTAAATCTTAGAGTCATTTTTAAATTCTCTGAGTTTCCGCAGAAAGTATAGACGTTGGCGAGATTTTTTAACAGTATGGTTGGTGTTTTTGTCCCATCTCAAATCGTTGGACAAAGTTAGACCAAGAAACTTATACTCCTCAACAATCTCCACCTGAGAGTTTTCAATGACCACAGGTGAGTGGGAGAGAGAGTGACCACGACTGAAGTCCAACACCAGTTCACATGTTTTGGACGTGTTCAAGAGGAGGTTGTTGTCTTAAGGACTTATTTTCATCCAACCCCCTTAACCTTAACCAATCTACTCAACAGACTAACATCCAACCCACCATTAATCCTAATCTTAACCATTCTACGGGGTCGGCTGTGATTCGACCAGCCCGGCCTCGAGCTCGGGCGACGTACAATCCTGCAGAGTGTTGGGAAGCTGCGGCCGATCACTTTCTCTGCAGAGTGTACAGCTGTAGTCTCTGTTTGTCCCTGACTGTGGCTCCAGCGAACCACGCAGTGATAGAGGAGGTGATGGAGGAGGAGATGGAGGAGGTGATGAGGAGGTGACGGAGGAGGTGAGGATGGACTCGATGATGGCCGTGTAGAACTGCACCAACATCTGTGCAGGCAGCTTGGCTTTCCTGAGCTGCCGCAGGAAGTACATCCTCTGCTGGGCCTTCTTGATGAGGGAGCTGATGGTCGGCTCCCACTTGAGGTCCTGGGTGATGGTGGTGCCCAGGAAACGGAAGGACTCCACAGAGGTGATGGGGGAGTCCATCACGGAGGGTGGGGGTGGGGGGACAGTGCTCTTCCTGAAGTCCACAATCATCTCCACTGTCTTCTGGGCAATTCGAAAGTAGGATTGCTACTTCCTCTTCCGTCCTGATTCCGTACATGATCTCGTGCCGACCCCACACTTACTCCACCTGTGTATTGGAAATGTGACGTGATGTGAATGTGTGTGGTCCGGTTCGGGAAAGGCACAGAGCGTTGTGTGAGAGGGTTTGTGTGGATGTATGTGAGCATCAGGGAGCAGAAGGAGCAGCTCTATCCTCCCTCGCAGCATGTTTATCTCTGTAATGAGACTCAGCAGGGTCTAAATGTGTTTACGACCGCTGCACTTTCCAACAGTCCAGGCATACGTATTTACCATTTCAAACTACTAATTCCGTGCTGACGCGAGAGGGATTATGAGGACTGATAATATTTGATTTGAGTTTGTTAATTGGTAAAGTGGTGGCTGACTGTTAGCACGGCTTGAAACTCATTAGAGATTGCCGCCAAGGGGAAATGTGTAATTACAAAGAGAATAACATCTGACAATAATCATGACTTTCATGAAAAAAACAGTGAAACAAGAAAGTGTTGTTTTTTGTACATCACCATGACAAGTTTTCTACGGCAGTGTTTTTCAACCAATGTGCCATGGTTCATTACAATACAATATAATTTATTCTTGTATTGCCCTAAATCACAACAGTATCATCTCAGAGATACTGAGAAATCACCAACACAGATCAGAGAATCAACAGAAAATACACATTTGTATTGGTCCATAAGGAGACCCACAGTGTGCCTTGGGATGTTATTTGGTGTGCCTTGGTAAATTATCCAATAAAACCTTGGTCAAAATATTGTGAAAATAAAATAATTAGAAATACGATACACTTTGCTTAAAATTACTTTGTTTTGTTAATAAAGGCGGCAGAGCTACAGTTTCAGTGGTTGGTATTCCATGTGATTGGGTGGCCATTGACCCTCGTTCCGGCTAAGAACTCCTGTTTTCGGGCTTCCGGTTCGCTCTTCGGCTCACACAACTTCAGATCAGACTGAAGAGATATTGCCAAGGATCATACCACGTTCTCAAAATTTAAATGAATGCAGCAAAACGCAAAAAAGTTTCTGGGCAAGCCCCGCTGATCCAAGATGGCGGCCTGTTCAAATCAGTGGGTTGTGCTCAGCAGCGCATGTGTCGCCATGGGGACGGAAAGATTAGCGAAACTTGTCCATATTTGGTCATTTCTCTGGTTATCCCGGTTCTGTGCAGTGGACGAGCTCCCATGATGCTTTGGGCCAAATACAGCTGATGGCAGTCAGACAGTCACATAGCACCAGCCCCTCACTGATCCTCCTGCAGGTGGTGAGTCCACAGGAGCTGAGATCTTTCAGTGGGAGCTTTGGGCAAAGTAGGGTTAAGTGTCTTGCCCAAGGACACAACGACAGGAGTCATCAGTGGGAGTCGTGAAGTAGGTCTTACGGTGGGCTCGAACCCACGACCTTCAGGCCCAAAGTCCAATGCTCTACCAACTGAGCTACTGTCACCCCTTGAATCTTGAATTGATCTTGATCTTGAATTAATACATTTTGAGTCATTACATCTAACATAAGTATAATATAGGCTTAGACAGTATTATGGTATATTTTACTGTGTTTTCCATGTTTTGTTGTAATTATTAGATTTTTAGTACGACAGCAAAAAGTAGAGGCTCTCTGCCTTTTATTTTGTATAAAAGCAACTCTCCAATTGAACAAGGTTGTAGACCCCTGCACCAAAATAATGTGGTTATGAAAAACTGAATCTTATCCCAATAGTTCTTGAAATTGAATTCTTTGTATATTCTAAATCTTTGAATACCTTCTGTCCGTTTTGTTGGACTTGGACAATTGTCTTTTATGTTTACACAAATAATCAAAAATCAATGTCTCGGAACAACACAGAACACAGATAGAAACCTAATTCTGAGGGGATGTTTTGTCTATGTGTAACAAAAAGAATACGTTTTACCGATAAGCGAGGAGGTAGCCAGCTCTCCGATGTCGTAATGGTTGCTCTTGTCGGTCACCGAGCCGTTGGATGGATTCTGATCTTCCTACAGAAATGACAAGGACACATCTTCATTGTAAATCTATAGTCTTGCCTTTCCCTCCACGTGGACTTCAATATTGTAAACATTATCAACTGTTGAGCCTCGAGAGGTGTAAGTGTTTGCCGAACAGCAGGTGTAGTTCCACCCCCATACTCGGCACAAAAACAACAATAGGTGACATCACAGGCGTCTCTGAATGAACCGTGAACTAAAAGGTATTTTTGTGTTGCCTTCTGTCGCTCACACATTCTACAGGCAGAAGACGGATCACACCTAGTTTGGTTCGAAAACTTATTTAGTCCGCCACCAATCGTGCAAGTTTTCCCACTTATACAACGAGGTAGTCCTGTAATTTCCGTCATAGCTAAACTTCAAGTATGAGAGACAGAATGAGAAATAAATATCCAGGAAATCACATTGTCCGATTTGTTAAATTATGGAGAAATATAAGTATATGGTAAATAATAAAAGTTAATCACAGTGTATATACTGCATGTGTATATGTGTATGTATGTGTGTGTGGTTTAAAACAAAATCTCATCTCAACTTGTTTTTGTCAAAGATTTATTTACTGATGAAAAAAAGTCAATGGAACTCCTCAACTCCTGTTTTTCCCCTTCTTTTCTTTTTATTATTATTACTCATTTTGTTTTATAATTTGTATAATTATTATAATTATAATTTTTTAGTATTTTTTTCTCTGTTTTAATTTCTTTTCTATTTTTTATTTTATTTTATGTAATCCTTTCTTTGCAGTATAAATGTTGCCTTGTGAGGTTTTTTTTTCTTTTTTAAATTAAGACAATCTCCTTGAATTCAAAAAGCAAAAACTCAAAAATAAAGTATATAGATAAAAAAAGGGAATCTCAATACTTTGATATCAATCCTTTGTTGGCAATGACAGAGCTCAAACGCTTTCTCTAAGTCTTCACAAGGTTTTCACACACTGTTGCTGGTATTTTGGCCCATTCCTCCATGCAGATCTCCTCTTGAGCAGTGATGTTTTGAGGCTGTCACTGGGCAACACAGACTTTCTACTCCCTCCAAAGGTTTTCTATGGGGTTGAGATCTGGAGACTGGCTCGGTTATTCTTGTGTCTTTGGGATCATTGTCGTGCTGAAAGACCCACGTTTCATCTTCAACGTACTGATGGAAGGATATTTTCTTTCAAAATCTCACCATACATAGCCCTATTCATTTTTTCCTTTACACAGGTCTTTCTTCCTGGTCCCTTTCCAGAAAACAGCCCCAAAATATGTTTCCACCCCCATACGTCACAATAGATATGGTGTACAAGACCAATCGAACCAGGCCCAGCCCAGCACAGCTTCAGAGGTCTGACAGGATCTGGCTTTCATCTGCAGGTATGGCACATGGTTCAGAAAGCACATGAGTTGGAATCTATGGTGATTATAGATGGTTTACTGGAAATCATTGAAGGGGTTGCAAAAGGAACAACTACACCTAAACTATGCAACTGCAAAAAGGGGAACCAAGAAAAGTGATTTTATCCAACACGGGTGTAACCTGGTCTTACCATGTGTAAACTCTGGTCCATGATAATTTCCTACATGTACGTCTGGTTTTACCATGTGTAAACTCTGGTCCATGATAATTTCCTACATGTACGTCTGGTCTTACCATGTGTAAACTCTGGTCCATGATAATTTCCTACATGTACGTCTGGTCTTACCATGTGTAAACTCTGGTCCATGATAATTTCCTACATGTACGTCTGGTCTTACCATGTGTAAACTCTGGTCCATGATCATTTCCTACATGTACGTCTGGTCTTACCATGTGTAAACTCTGGTCCATGATCATTTCCTACATGTACGTCTGGTCTTACCATGTGTAAACTCTGGTCCATGATCATTTCCTACATGTACGTCTGGTCTTACCATGTGTAAACTCTGGTCCATGATCATTTCCTACATGTACGTCTGGTCTTACCATGTGTAAACTCTGGTCCATGATCATTTCCTACATGTACGTCTGGTCTTACCATGTGTAAACTCTGGTCCATGGTCATTTCCTACATGTACGTCTGGGTCTGATCCTAGTGGCTGCAGTTTCCTCGGTTGAATCCCCTCCGACCAATCAGAGAGCGGGGGAGGCGGGTCTTGTAGGTCGGTGTCGGTGACGTCAAGAGTTTGTGCTGAATTTGCTGGTTGTAGTTTGTCGGAGAATGTGATAGTAAAATAATCTGTTCTGGTTTAATCCAAATATCAAGAAACTGAAGCCGGAGTTTGTCGCTTCCCCACTGTCGAACACAGCATGTCTTGTATTAAAGGGGAGAAGAAGAAGAAGCTGCATCTGTTTCTTTGCAGCGTTCTCACAGACACAGGTGTGATGGAGCCGAGTCTGTCTTCTCTCTTCATAGACACACACACACACACACATACACACACAGATACACACACACACACACACAGATACACACATACACACACAGATACACACACAGACACAGGTGTGATGGAGCCGAGACTGTCTGCTCTCTTCACAGACACACACAGACACACACACACCGACACACAGACAGACATACACACACAGACACAGATAGACACATACACACACATGCAGACTCACACACAGGTACTCACACACACAGACACATACAAATACACACACAGAGAGACACAGAATCTCACACACAGGTACACACACGCACACACACAGACAGACAGACTCACACACATACACACACACACACAGATACACACACACACAGACACATACAGATACACACACAGAGAGACACAGAATCTCTCAGAAACACACTCAGACTCTCACACACAGATGCTCACAGTCACCCTCTTTCACAGAAACAGACAGACACACATACTCACAGACATGCAGACTTACACACACACACACACACACACTCACAGACGCACACACACACAGCAGATAACCTCTTGTAATGTGCGGCACATCATTTACTCCATTCTCGGCTGTAACAAGTTAATTGATCAATCACAACAAACTGCAGCTGCGTGTGTGTGTGTGTGTGTGTGTGTGTGTGTGTCTGTGAGTGTGTGTGCGAGAGTCTGTGTGTTTGTGTGTGTGTGTGTGTGAGAAAGAGTCTGTGTGTGTGTTTGTGTGTGTGTGTGTGTGAGAGAGAGAGAGAGTCTTTGTGTGTCTGAGAGTCTGTGTGTGTGAGAGAGTTTGTGATTGTGTGTGTGTGCGAGAATCTGTAAGTGTGTGTGCGAGTGTCTATGAGTGTGTGAGAATGAGAGTCTGTGTGTGTGTGTGAGAGAGAGTCTTTGTGTATGTGAGTGTGTGTGCGAGAGTCTGGGAGTGTTTTGTTTTAGTCTGTCTTATTGTCTTTGTTGTAGTGTCATGTGTTGTGTTCTCCTCAGCCTCAGTGTGGTCTGCAGCACAGAGAAGGGCAGGAAGAAGCTGGAACAGAGAGCAGCTTCAGTGACAGACTTATTCACCCCCGCTGCGTGAAGGAGATGTTCCGCAAGTCTTTCCTCCCTGCTGCTGTCAGACTGTACAATGAACATCAAAGACTGTTTCTAAGAAGCATAATGGGAGGAAGCTGCTTCTCCTTTGTGCAGTTTTACAAGAGGAACAGCAAATGGTTGGTTATATTTCGGCTTTTCTATTGAATACGAAAAGAGGTTTTAATGGAAATGTTGTTTAATTGATTATTGCGAAATGTATACACTCAATTTGAATAATTTGATTAACTGTGAGATTTAATGTCTGATAAGAGATGGCACTCTCGCTTCTCAGCAAGAAGGTCCTGGGTTCGAATCCCGGTCGGAACAGGGCCTTTCTGAGTGGCGTTAGCATGTTCTCCCTGTGTCTGCGTAGGTTTCCTCCAGGTGCTCCGGTTTCCCCTACCACTAAAAACATGTAGAATAGTTCTGGCATGTGCCTCCTGTACTGGCCCCGCTCCCATCTCTGTGTGGAGTGAGAGACTAATGCCCACAATTGTAAACCGCTTTGTGACTGTGGTCTGTGAAAGGCGCTATATACAGTTTATTAAAGATAAAGAAACCTGTAAGTTCATAATCCTGTAATAAATGAATTAAAGTCGTAGGAAATGTTTAAAAAAAAAACTCACTTTGTCCGACGCCGGTCCCTCTGTCTGGGACCAGAGCACAGTCATGGGCTGCTGCTGATCTGGACACACATCACAGAGAAAAGTCAGGACTCATTAGATTCACAAATACTCTCATACGCACATATACTCACACAAATACACACACACACACATACACACACACATACACACATACTGTATACTCACACTGACATACACACATATACTCACACTGACACACACACATATACTCACACACATATACTCACACACTCACACACACGCACATATACTCACACACACACACATATACTCACACCAACATACACACATATACTCACACACACATATACTCACACCAACATACACACATACACTCACACACACACATACATACTGTATACTCACACCGACACACACATATACTCACATACACACATACTGTATACTCACACTGACATACACGCATACACTCACACACACACATATACTCACACACACATACACACATATAATCACACACACACATATACTCACACACACATACACACATATACTCACACACACATACAGTACACACATATACTCACACACACATACACACATATACTCACACACACACATATACTCACACACACATACACACATATACTCACACACACACATATACTCACACACACATACACACATATACTAACATACACATACCCACATATACTCACACCGACACACACACATTTACTCACACCGACACACACACATATACTCACATACACACATATTCTTACACACACACACACACACACACATACTCACACCGACACACACACATTTACTCACACACACGGAGCCAAAGCCATACTATGAAGAGAAGACTTAACCCTTTAATGGTTTCCTCAACATTTTGGTGGATCACTTTTTGACTCAGTATCTATTTGAAGTCTACGACACTGGGGCGTCTCTGTCCCTTGGTTTTAGGCACTTTAACCACTTCAACCCTTTGATAAAGGGCTATAATTAAAACAAAGTAAGAAGAAGAATTTGCATTGCTTTCTTCAAGGAGTGGACATTAAAGGGTTAAATCACTGAGACCAGAAGCAAAACATTTAAGGAAACTAGACTTAACTTCTGGCTTTGTGCGGCCTCTTTAACCTTTGATGATAAAATAATATTAATGGGCCCAAGACTGGACCTTGGGGAACTCCTCGGAAAACGGTAACTTGAGGTTAAATTACTTTTTTTTGCTTAGAGTTTAACTAAAGAGTGAATGGACAACTGGGATGCTAGCTGAGAGGGTATTGCACTCATGCGTCACAACAATTTTCATTTTTATATTCTAGAAATTTATGTAGATTTTTATTATGCCTCGTTGTTTTGAACCGAGAGCCAAAGCCATTTCCTCGTCTGACTTCCTGTTACTTACATGATAATAAAAATTATTTTGATTTTGAAGAAGGGGTTTGGTCTCCTGTCCTGTTCAGTATGGACATTGCATGTTTCTCCCTGTGTCCGGGTGGGTTTCCTCTGGGCGCTCCGGTTTCCACTACCAACCAACATGCATCGGTGTCTGGTGAATGATGGAGGTCGTAGGGGGATGGATCAGACTGGCTGCCTCGCTTCTGTCGCCTCTGAGCGTGAACTGAATGTTTTGTGTTTTCAGAGACTTCAGCAAGGCTCTGATTGGCTCTGGATTCACAACACGTCTCGTTGATTAGCACGATGGAGCTCGGGTCTACTCAGGAGCTCTGCGCCGTTTCCTTGATTAATGTCCATAACAGGGCTGATTAAATATTTGAATACTGCCAGCCCGATCTTACCGCACCATCATACTCATTTCATGTTGTACTAAGGTCTGGATTTGCTCCTTTTGCAGATTGAAACGATTGAATCGGAGTTTACCGTGACGTAAATAATGAGCTCGAGTGTGTGAAGCATTTAGCATTTAGCCTAGCTTTAGCATTTAGCCTAGCTTTAGCCATCTCCTTTGCCACTAATGGAGCCCGTGGGGATATTTGGATCGAACCAGAACAGATTATTTTACTATCGCATTCTCCGACAAACTACAACCAGAACATTCGGCGCAAACTCTTGACGTCACCGACACGACCGACAACACCCGCCTCCCCCGCTCTCTGATTGGTTGGAGGGGATTCAACCGAGGAAACTGCAGCCACTAGGATCAGACCCAGACGTACATGTAGGAAATGATCATGGACCAGAGTTTACACATGGTAAGACCAGACGTACATGTAGGAAATGACCATGGACCAGAGTTTACACATGGTAAGACCAGACGTACATGTAGGAAATGACCATGGACCAGAGTTTACACATGGTAAGACCAGACGTACATGTAGGAAATGACCATGGACCAGAGTTTACACATGGTAAGACCAGACATACATGTAGGAGATGATAATTGAGTTTTTGAATAGATAAGACCAGGCTATTCAAGTGGTATTCCTGTGGATAACTCTGACCAACCACATTTGACTGTTTACTATCTTCAGCTTTCTCTGCCTTATGACTCTTGTTATACCATACACTATATTATAATGGTAGACATAATAGCTTGATCTTGGCCTTCACATCCGTCCTCAGTCCGGCTCCGTGGCCTCATGTTGCCCGCCCCTTCCACCTGTGACGCCAATGTTAAAGCAAATCTCTTATTCTCGTATCTTTCTACGGAGCACACAGCTGCTTCTTCATCCAAATATTCTATACAATCTACGGTGAAGGTCATGATTACAGCCTGTTATATCCCACAGACCTTTGAAATAATAGAACGGTATCCAGACAAAAGAACAGCCATCAATGGATTTGGATTGAATTAGATTATTTAGAAATAGCACTGGTTTAATTACTGCTATGGGCACATGTTATGATTGCATAAACTCTCCTCTACCCTGGTCAGTATTTTTTTTCAAGAAATTGCTGAAAGCTCCTTCAGAAGAAAATTGATTGACCTACAATTCCCAGTTCAAAGGAAAGGTGAGGCTTTGACCCGAAGCTACACTTTCAATGCCTTTGTCCATCTCTCCTAAATATACAGGGAGCTCTTCACCCAATGAGATTATTCAATATTAGCCGTTTTATTTTGATTATTATCTGTCCTTTTGATTTATGTAATTATTATTATATTCTACATATTAATAATAATGTTGCACAATGTACTGTTCCGCACCCACACATATATAAACACATGTACATGCACACACTCTCTCACACACAGACACACACTCTCTCTCTCACACACACACTCTCTCACACACAGACACACACTCTCTCTCTCTCACACACAGACACACACTTTCTCTCTCACACACACTCTCTCTCTCTCTCACACACAGACACACACTCTCTCTCTCACACACACACTCTCTCACACACACACACTCTCTCTCACACACACACTCTCTCACACACAGACACACACTCTCTCTCTCTCACACACACACACTCTCTCTCTCTCACACACACTCTCTCTCACACACAGACACACACTCTCTCTCTCACACACACACTCTGTGAAAGAATGTCCAGGGTTTATGTTCAGGTTTTATTTTGTTTATGGTACGTGCATAAATAAAGCAGAGCTTCTTTTCTATGGGTTAAACAAATGTCATGAAATTGTTGTGCACAGAAACAGGATGCGAAAGTGTGTGCAGAGGGAACAGGATATCAGTTGCAACAGTTCCCTGTCTGATAAGACCAACGGAAAGTTTTCAAAGATGCTAATGTAAGATTGCTTGCACACTTGAGTTGGGGGCGTCTCCAAATGCCTTGCTATCATAACTATATGGTATTGTGTAAACTGTAACCCCACCTGCTTTTCTTGTGTCAAATAAAAGCTGTGTCCGGAAAAGAGCGATCGGGAATATCACTCTGCTAGTCAGTCTGATAAGCTTGATGCGTTTCCCCCGTGATCACGTAAACTCGTAACTACAGTGTCCTTTTTGAGAGCTATTGTGGGTACAGGAGTTAACCTCGCGAGGTGAAATTAGTTTCTGGCTGTCTAGGTTGTTTTGGTTTTTGGGTCTATGATCTGTCAGTCATCACGCTTAGAGCCTGGTGCAATTTTCTGACAGACTTTGGTCCTTCGAAGCCGGATTCAGGACTCGTCGTGGAGGGCGAGGACGGGAGATTGGACAAGTGCCTGGCCAGGCCCGGATAACACCGGAAACCCACCTTTCTACGTGGCAACCTCTCCTCACCGTCCTCTGCGCTGAGGACTGGATCGGTCCCAGTGTAAGACCAACCATCAACCGAAAGGTCAGAAACAACTCTTATGTTAGAGTGAAAGATCAGACTTAGCTGTGGACCAGGTTTAATGGTGCAAGTGTGCTTTGTTTGAATGGTGAATATTCACACGTTGTGAAATATCACATGAGCGATCCTTTATACTCAAGACAGAGTGTAACTGACCGTAGCTGAGACCCAAGACAGGGAAACAGTGACTCAAGACAGAGTCGGACCGTGGTTGGGACCCAAGACAGGGAAACAACCATGAAAAAGAACGATAAAGGAAAGAAAGAGAAGCCTCCGGTCTGCGACTCGGACTCTAGCGGGGACGAGGAGGAGACCGGGAGGAAGAGAGTTACATTAGCAGTAGTAAAAGCTAAGTCAAAAGGAAAAAGTAAAGAACCCAAGCAGGAGGCTCCCTGCGATCCACAAACTCTGGATGCAGAGCAGTGGATGAGAGAGTGTTTCCCCCATTCAGTGCAGTTCATAAAGAAATGGCAAAAACGATATGAATGGTGGCAGCCCACATTCGAAATTGACCAAATTGGAAAATTGTTACAGAATCTGACCCTAAAAGATGCACTGAAACAAAAAGGGAAAGATTATGCAGGAAAAACTCTTGCAGCCAGAAATTGGATGTATTCTGCTAAAGCCCTGCATAATCGATATAACCAATATTTAAAGGATCAGAAGAAGGGGAAAACAGAAGTATACACCACCAAACAGACCAAACAGATGGATAATGACGGAAGTCACAGTCAGGGAAGAGCAGATCAACCAGGTCCAGCAGTGGAGGACGGTGTTGGGGAGGACGAGTTGAGTCCTGTAAATACCCCGA